CCTCAGCCACACTCACACCGGATGCCGGCGGATAAAAATGGAGTTCCTCGAAATGCGTGCACACGGGCACGCAAATCGATGCAATGATGAAATGCAATGAAACATGGCAAAAATGATATGCAAGCATGCCAATGGAATTTCAGCAACAAAATATGGGGGAAAACAGTCCCGAAATGAAGCGAAATGACATGAAATGCAAGGAAATGTCCCGAAATGCAACATTAAGCACACGAAATGGCCTATAGCCATGCCAAACATGCACAATATGGACATGCAATGCAAAGACAGAAGCTAGACAGTCCCAAAAGATGCACTTTCACAGTTATAAGCATGGCCAAACAGCAAGCATAGGTATGGCAAAAATAACATGCAAGAATAGGGGCCAAAAGAGGGGTAATGAAGCAAGTGATATAAGCAAAACCCAAACGGAAAAATTTCCTTCTACAACAATGAAGATGGACAAAAAATATGAACATTTACAGTATATGGAAGTCTCAAAATCAGTATACAAATATGCTAAAAATGTGATGTAAAATGAAGCTCAAAAGGTGCTAAAACATGAAGTATACAAAATAATCACCAAACAGAAAAAAAGTGTGAATGAAACATGAAGTATAGGCCAAAAAAATGCCACTTTCAGTTCGGACCAAGGTCCAAAAACAGAAGCAAAGAGGGTTGCCAATTTATGCAAAAATGGGGCCAAATAAGGGATATAACTACAAGTGACACATAGAGACACCAAACAATGTTGAGCCCTTCTCCAATGTTGAAGAGGGGCTCAAAATAAGCCTAATATCAGTTTACAACATGCTCGAAAATAAATTACTCATAGGTCAAAAATAGCATGCAAAATTGTGACATACAAGAAGGTCAATGAAGCAAGTGTGTCATGGAGGGCTCAAACAGGGTTGAGCCCTTAATGAAAAGTGAAGATGAGCTCAAAAAATGGCCCTTTTCAGTTAGGGCCGGAGCTTGAAAAATAAAACAAAAAAGAAAGTGTAGGCTTAAAATAGATCAAGAGAGAGTAGAAGTACCAAAAAATACTCGTGTGAGAATTTCTGGAAACGAATACTAGTGATTATTTGCTATTTATGGATAGATTATCGATACAGCTGAAGGCTTCTCAGATATCGCAGTCTAGTAGTTTGCTTTTTTCTAGTAGTTGTGACATGGTGGTGGTAGAGCTTGGTTGTTTTGTATGCTATAATTGGTGTAGGGAGCTGTTATGGGTGTTTTGAAGAATTGAGAAAGGATAGAAGATGGATGGCTATGGAGCTTTTTGAAGAGTAAATTTTTCTAACCCAAATGAAGAAGGCCACCAGCTGGTTATATGGATCAAAAAGGGGGTGTAAAGGTGGGGGAAAAGGAGGGTAAAACTCCCCCACAAAATTCCCCCGGATACAGAAATATCTGGGGGATATTGCCCCACAGCTGTAAAGGGTACAGTGAGAAGAACACGGCCGTGCCTCAAACTTTTGTTGTGAGGTGGCCGGCCGGCCACCACCTAGCCGGGCCGGCTAGGGGTCAAAAGGGTCAAGGTGATTTTCTGGCCGGGCCAATACTGGAAGAGGTACCCTATGTGTGTACAACACTAACCATGGTGGTTAAAAGTCCAGAGAAGGGGCCCAAGGGGTTTCACATTGGTCGGAAAGAAGGGGTTCAAAAGGGTCAAGTGACCTTAATGGCCGGCCATGAACTTTTAGTGCCTCTTCAGGTGGTGTATATCACAGATATGTGGTTGAAAGTTCGAGGAAAAAGGTCAGCAAGGGGTTCAACCATTAGCCGGAAGAAAGGGGTCAAAAGGGTCAGGTGACCTTATGGCCGGCGCCACCAAACTTTAGTGGCTCACCAGTGTGTAGAATCAAGATATGTGGTTGAAAATTGACAACCATTAGCTCCAAGGTATTCACGAGTTAGCTCGGAAAGTATGGAAACGGGCGCGGAGGAGCTCCGAGGAGAGATAACTGGCTGCTGCAACAATTGCTGGCCTCCCACTCCTTCAGTGACCTTCCTGGTGATAAAACAAGGTACCTCAAAAATGAACGAAAACCGTTGCAAGAATGTTCCGGGGCCAGAACAACGCGGTTCGGGGTCCCGAAAATGGGCTGTTAAGCACGCGAAAGATGGCATTCGACCTCGGAGTGGGTTTTCTTGAGGACCCCAGTGTTCCCCTCAAAAGGGATGAAATAAGAGGTATGCCCAAAATCAGAGCAATAGGAGATGGTTAACGCGGTCCCGACCGAGACACACGGCCTGATGGCTCCGAAAAAACCGGAACCCGAACTCCCGAAATGGAAAAATGGCCTACGGCCACCAATGTGGCCTACGGACATTGAGAGATGGTCTATGGGACCTCTCCCTCCCTCCAGGAAAAGAAATGAAGAGAAAAACCGAGTCTGGTTCGCGACCGAGACAAGGCACAGAGGGGTTCGGGCGTCCGGAGGCAGGGCTCAACGCGTGGACTCTGAAGCTCCTGAAACAAGCACATTATGCAACATCACAAGGCGGCTCAATAGGTGACGTCTGAGTCTTAAGGTCGGTCAAAAAATGGGGTGTCTACAGTTGCCCCTCTTTGAACAGAACTCGGAAGTCACAGTGACGGGAGTGATGTCCAAACCCCAGAGACGACCCATTTTGACAGGCCGAAGACTTAGACAAACATACAAGATAGACTAAGATGTGCCGCAGGCATGCCCGCAGGCAGGGGGCAAAAAATGCAAATGATATGCAAGAAGCCGGGTAACCCAATGATCGTGCAAAATGCAGCAAGCTGGTAATGAAGCAAGTAATTCGCAAATAGATGTCAGACAGTTTTAAGCAAGATTGCAAGAGATAATACATTTCATGCGTTAAGGATGCGTGAGGATTATTCAATCCCCGCCACGTCTCACACGGAGAGATACGATACCTGCGCGATTCGTCTGGTCGCACCACCTCAATTGAACCATAAATACGATA